TTATATATATATATATATATATATATATATAAATTATGAGATGTAACTAACGCAATAACATCTTATGGGTTACGTAGGCATAACTTCCAGGTATCAATTGATCTGCTAGTTTTCTATTTTACAGCATTATTTCTCACGAGAGAGCCACTTGACACCATAGGGAATGACCAATAATAATAAATATCTAGAACGAAAGGAACTTAGCCACCTTCTTTGACCAACATTCTATTATAAAAAATGCGCACACGGCTGGAAACGTGTATGAGTAAAAATATTTGAAAATTCTTGATAAACTTGAAACGTTCACATTAGTAAGTAAAAGAAGAAACGAAGCAACCAAGAGGATGGATTGGCCAACGAAATCTCCGGATCTGAACCCTGTTTAGCATGGTCTAAAACGATCCATCTAGTACGATTCAAGACTGAGCAAGAGATGCACTACTCACTTATCCAAGAAAGCCCCCCACCTACCACAACAGCAATTACAGCGTTTGATTAAACTTTGAATTTTTACAGTACCTATTTTCTGCAGTGGGGTGTTTCCTTATAAGAATTTCATTCGTGATTTTATTAACGTTCTTTATGTTATGCATTATTTTCCATATTTTAAAATGTCACAATCAGTCATTCGGTGAATATCAAAATCTGTAACTCCTCTGTTGGAAATCTCAATCGTTAGTTAAAGCTGAGTAATATATATATATATAACAATAATAAAAGTCATCATAAAGTTGCCAAATTAAGATATGTCTTAGCTTATTTAATTACCTTTTCTACGTGCACAAGATTTATGTTTCCATATATTGAACTTTTCATTAAACGTGGATTCAAAATTTTTATTTATGATCTGTAGAAATAATTTCTCACTCAGCTTGTCAAAAATTGATTCAATAACAATTTTATGTGACCATTCAGACGTACGTTGTGTTAAAATACAAAACGAGCGTTGTGCATATATATATATTAAAACTGTTCCGCTCACCACAGAAGTAGCAAGTTTTTCCTCTGCTATTCAGTCACAGTTGGTTTCCACATGCTTCTTTTTATCTATGAAAGTAAGGTATATATTTATTTCAGTGTTTTAGCATTATAAAAGCTAACCAAATCATATATCAATACACCAATGTGTATGAAATGTATATATTAAAATACACAGTCCTAGATCAACTGGAACGTGAAATATGTAGTTAATAGTTATAAGATATTTATATTTTAATGTTTGCTACATTAGCAAGTTTATTATTGCTACTTACATAAAATAAAGATGCCAAGGTAGAGTATTCCCAGTTATTAGAATTACAAAACAACTGTGCTTTCAAAAACAAATTATGTACACATCATTACTTTAAGCCAATGGAAAAAAAAATAAGAAAATACTTCCTAAGATAAAATTTAATTATTGGTTTGGTTGTTGTTAAGCGCAAGTCTTCGAAATGGGGTATATGTGCTCTGCCTATCATGGGTATCGAAACCCGATGTTAAGCGCTGTAAACCTATGGACGTACCGCTGAGTCATAAAATCAGTATAACCTAATGATTTTATAAACTCTCTTCATCAATTCGATTTTTAATCATTTTTAACGATATTGCTAACAATACAAAATATAACAAGCTCATCTTGAAACAAACTAATCTAAAAGCTTCAAACATAATTAGCAATTATTAATAAATATGTATGAAACTCTTTTTCGATTAATTTGTTTCAAGATGAACTTGTTATATCTTTGTATTACTCACGTTAAATAAATATACGGGAAGTGATATAAATGAGAAGAGATAAATAACCAATTTCAAAGTTAGTGATTGCTGTAAATTCCTTAGTTTCAGTTTCACTATGGCTTCTTCCATACGAAGACTTTTTTGTCTGTGCTGGAGACCGACTGGCGTTAGCAGGGCAACAAGCTGATGTACCCATCCTTTATCAGGGTTATAAACTTTAAAAAATTGTGGGGTGGATGTTATGATAAGTAACACTAAAATCTTAACTTTCACATAATTTATTTATAACGTAACATATCATTACAGTATTCATTATTACCTCACCAAAAATGTTGTATAAGATTTAATAACTCACTATTTGTATAATTAAAACATGGTATACAGTGCTCTTTCTGTGACAGAAATTTAGTTTTTAAAGGAAAGTTATCTTTCCTAAACTGGGGTATTCAGGGATATTATTACCCCCCCCCCCATCGCTCCGCTTGCTGCAATTTTATTTGTTATATTCGTGAGTTTTTATAATATTGTTGGAAAGGTGGTTGTATTTTTGACTAATGGTATTTAAAAAGTGAGGTAGAGAAACAGATATATATATATATATATATGTTTGGTGGGTTCCAGGGTAGAGAAAAGACCAAGGCTGTAGACGTGAATTTGTAGAGAAGAAGTAAAGCGACGAACGTTCGACAAAGCGATCAACAAACTTCCCACGGTCAGGGTCACGGGGGTGGATGGGATCTATAAATTCAATGCCACGGCTGAGATCATTGAATCCAAGTGCCCTCAAATCTGCTGTGGGGGAAAACAGGTATACAGTGCGATGGTCAGTGTGACTTTGAAGGAAGAGGTATCGGAAAAATTAGTGGCGGTAGGTGTGCTTTCTGTTACCCGCTTTCAACACCCAGCTCTTAATCCCCTCCACAGTGTTTAACGTGATTAATAATTAATTGACGGTCATTGGCCGCAGAAGTGTCTTACGGGCAGAAGTTGAAAGGTCACGGGCCGAAGTAGAAAATGGACATAACTCAACAAACGGCTCTTCATATAAGCGTTATTGTGGCTGTTGGAGTAAGAACTTCAGCTAAGTTTATGTATCATTGCAATAGTGGCGGCCATTTTTTATTGCATTCTGCTATAGAGAGTGATAGCGCACCCTCCGAGGTTTATAAAACGTTTATGTGCTCTCCCCCACACTGTGTATATGTTGTGTTATAGAAAACGTAATAATATTTTTGTGTAAGGACGTGGCACTATCTATGAATGTAGCAACGTTAACTAATGTCAAAGATCAAAAACACCAATAATGAGGATGGAGGGCTATCTTTGCTGTGTGACCACAGGTATCGAAAACCGTTTTTAGCCTTATAAGTATTCACACGTACCACTTAGCCACTGGGGGCTTCAAATAGGTTAGTAATTTATTACTATTTTTTATAAGGAGAGGGCGTAATTGGAAGGTGTTATCTTTATTTATATTTGTAATCCAAATGTGATGTTTCTAGGTCATTTATTATGAAACGTACCGAAAGGAGTTTACATTTTTTAAAATTGAGTTGACAAGCATTCCCACTCCGTTTCATAAAGATAAATTTGCTTGATAATTTGTTTATGTCAATGTATTAATATATTAAACGCAATATACCACAAATGTCATTATAACAAGCCCTTGCAATTTCTTTCTCTTAACTTGACAGGTGTTTAGTTTTAAAACTGGGGTCTTCAGGGATATTAATATCCCCCTTCGCACCGCTCGTATTGCTTATGTTTACCGAGAGTGGTTTATTCAATAACTGTAACAACAAATGGGTTTTTGATTAATAGTCTGTGGATTTAGATTATTCAAACTTGGAAGGGATTTAAGATGTTAATCGTGGTTAAAATTAAAATGAAAACTGGTGGTAGGCAAAGATATCTACAATCATCGGCAAAGACAAAAGTTATCACCTGCTAGCTCCAAAACTTTGGCGGCCACGTACTCTAAAATAGCGGTGAAGTAGTAGACGGGTGCTCCAGCTCAAACCCGTTTTTGTGTGGACTGGAGAGGACATTTTTTACTACCACCCATCTTTACGAACTTTAAATATATCCTTCTCACTGCGTATGCCGACGGATTCCTAGACTACGTTTAAGCAAGCAATTGGGAAATTAAAGAGGTAGAATGGAATTGTAGTGATTCAAGTTGTTTTAGTAATTTTTCTCATGAAGACAACTGTTGACTAGAAGCTTGTTGATCGTGTATCCTTGTATCCTATTCGAAATGCTCTTTCCTGTGGTTATATTTTGTTAAAATTTTTCCTAAAAAATATCCTTCTTCGGAAATGGCTGTGGCACAATCCTTCTTCCATAATTATCTGTGGTAGGATTGTACTGTCGAATGGTCAGGAATTTGCCTAAACCATATGTACTAAACATGACCTTCGTTTCACTACGATTCACAAGTGTGTGGTAATACACCACTGCATTAGCTTATGAAAAATTGTTCCTATAAAGTGAGATTTACCTTCTGTCCTTCGGTGAGTCAGCGGCAAGTTTACAGTCGTTGTTGTTATTTTTTCAGCAAAGTTGTAATGGGTTATCTACTGCATCCACCATAGGAATCGAACTCCGGACCTTTGCGTTGTAAGTCCGTGGAGTAACCGCTGTCCTACCAGAGGACAAGATCCAGGATTTGAGTTCACTTTCGTGCAGTTAGCAGAGCACAGTTAGCCCATTGTGTAACCTCATGCTGAAATAACTTTATCAAATCTTTATAGTGTCAAGAATGTGAAATATATATTTATAACAACGTAAAGAAATGTTATATTTGTTGTGGAACGAAATGGTTGATTGTATTAGGGGTACCGGAAAGTAATGTCGGATTTGTTATCTTAAATTCCAAAGTTTCTAATTGTGTGTTTTAGTTTCCTTATAGGTGAATTTGATTTATCAGGCAAAAGAACTCTTTTTGCTCATCAATTTCCTGTTAACAAAAGTAGTTTTCCTCTAATAAAAAAATGGCTGATCACATTCCTAACGAGAATCACATTCGATATTGCATGCATAAAAGTAACAAGGCAAAAGAGATAACGAAAAAAAATTTGTGTGGTTTATAAAGATGCTTTGAATGTCCCCAATTGCCAAAGGTGGTTGCGAAAATTTAGGTCAGTTGATTTTGATCTCTCGTTCAGGGAGATCAGTAGAGTTGGACAATGACCTCCTGAGGTCAGAGGTTGAGTCAGACCCCCGTCAAACCACCCAAAAATTGTCAGAAAAACTTCATTCTTATTGGTCTAGCGTTCAAGAACATCTTACACAGATAGGGTAGGTCAATAGACAAGGAGTTTGGGTTGCAGACTAACTGTCAGATTATAAACAAAAACCAGCGCATAATAATTTGCAATTCTTTGATAACTAGTCATGAGAAAGAACCATTTCTTCATCGGATTGTTACAGGAGATGAGAAATGGGTTCTCTGTGTTACCACCAAGTGTAAAAATTAGTGGCTTATCCCTGGCCTGAACCCAATTCCGCAGAAAGTCATGTTGTCCGTTTTGTTGGACAGAGTCGGTATAATTCACTTTGATTATTGAAATCGAGTCAGACTATAACTGTAGACCTTTAGTGTCAGCAATTAGACTGTTTGCACCAGGCTCTCGTTGAAAAACGTCTAGTACTGATCAACAGAAAAAGGCTCATTCTGCTGCATGAGAATGCGAGACCACATTTTGCAAGAATGACTCAGAAGAAGATCGAAGATTTGGATTGGGAAGTCCTGCCTCCACCCACCATACTCTTCTGGCATTCTGAAATTGCCCTTTCAAATTACTATTTATTCAGATCTATACATCAATTTCTCAATGATGAAACCTTCAGAAATATTGATGGCATCAAAACTCTCTCGCAGAATTATTTGTCTCAAAGGAAGCTTCCTTCTATCAACGAGTAATTGAAAGCTTCATTGCAAGATGGCACATTGTCATTAATAATGATGGGAATTATGTAACTGATTGCAAAATAAATACTTATCTTTAAAAATATATTTTACTGTATAAGGAAAAAAAACGACATTACTTTCCGGTACCCCTAATAATGATAGGAAAGAAAGGCCGAAATCCATGACTGATTAAGACATGTTACACATCTAGAATTAAATGTAACAAAAATTTGCCGCAGTGTTTCACTCCTATTTAAAACAGAGGTAAATAGTAGTGATTAAAAAAAACGTAATATGTTTATCATTTCTCTCATTGCTTTTAGCATAAAGCTACACAACGTGTTATCTGTGGTCTGTCCACAGATTGTACGTCTGTAGATTTAACGTTGACACACAGGAAAACTATGTTTATAAAATATATATTTTATTTAATCCGAATCATTGTTTGTTTGTAATTAAGCACAAAGCTACACAATGGGCTATCTGTGCTCTGCCCACCACGGGTATCGAAACCCGGATTCTAGTGTTGTAAGTCCGCAGCCATACCGCTGTGTCACTGGGAGGCAAATAATCCGAATCATCCATGTTTATTGTGATGTGTTTAATCCAGTTTATAGTCAGTATCAAATAACTATAATTAGCTTTTATGATCATATTTGTGCCCCAATTTGAAATATTGGATTTTTACATATCCATTTAATATTCTCAATATAAAATAATTTGAATTATCTAAAACCTCAGACAATAATATCAAATGTAGTATTTTAAAAACAACAATATATTTTCTACTTTCTCTACTTTATGAAAATTATACCAAGAAAGCCATACCAAAGCTATAAATATGTTTTTACTATAATAAGCGTAATTTTTTACTTTTTTACTTTCTTAGCCTCATTAACTTTCTCAAATGATTCTACCTTCCACGGAGGAGACAGCGGTCTTCGGATATCCTTGTAACGGTCTAAAGCGATGGCTACGATAAGATAGTTGGAAGCGCAGATAGAGAATGTCTGCAGGAACTTCACCAATCGACAAACAACATCCCCTGCCCTCCATTCTCGACCATAATACTCCCACACCAGCTGGGGACCAGTAGCACACACTGTTACTAGCACATCTGCTATTGTCAGGTTAAGGAAAAGATTTTCTGGCCCAATGGTTCCACAACCAGAAAAGCACGACTAAGTTTCCTATAAATCCCAAAACTGCCAGAACCTAGAGCGTAGTGACCCGGACGCTCTTAATAACCGACTGGTCGTACAAACTCTGCTGGTGTCCGATGTCAGAACTGTTGGGAAATATCTGGTCAATTTCTCCAGAGCTTATAGACCTGTTGTTGTCTTTCATAGCCGTTTGGTAGAGAAATTCAACGACAGGAGCAAATAACTTACTTTTATCACGAATGTAGTTTAAGTTAAAATATCTACACCAGTGTTCTATTTGACCAGATCTAACACAATAACTTACATTTATCACGAATGTAGTTTAAGTTAAAATATCTACACCAGTGTTCTATTTGACCAGATCTAACACAATAACTTACTTTTATCACCAGTGTAGTTTAAGTTAAAATATCTATACCAGTGTTCTATTTGACCAGATCTAACACAATAACTTATTTTTATCACCAGTGTAGTTTAAGTTAAAATATCTATACCAGTGTTCTATTTGACCAGATCTAACACAATAACTTATTTTTATCACCAGTGTAGTTTAAGTTAAAATACATACACCAGTGTTCTATTTGACCAGAACTAACATAAGAACCCTTTCTCTCTCTCTCAACAGCACGATTGAAAGGTTTAAGCACGCGCTGTAAGAATAAACGTATAATATAAAAACGGTATGGACTTTAAAAAGATAGTAATCAGGCTATATTCATATAGGTTTAGGTTTACTGAAAATATAAGGAAAAAAACATAACTGTCGTAAAAATTACAGTCTTTAATTTCGTTGTTACTTTTTCTGTAATTTCTAAATTCTATAATCATTACAAAATTACATAAATGAGCAAATAACAGGTGCCAAGCTTTTACGGATATCAAGCATTTTTACATTGTAAAAGAAAACATAATACACAGAAATTAATTTGATACGTACACAATTATATTTCGTATATAACAAGTTTTTTAAATATTTAAGAAATTCGAGGATATTAAAACAAAAAACAGGTGCCCTCACATTTGATTTTAAAGTACTTATTAAGACTAGTAATAAGGAGTTTCGTAATTGTAAAGAAAATGAAAACGTTATTCATACCCTCCCCTGTGGCTCAGCGGTAAGTATGCAGACTTAACTAACGCCAAAAATTGGGTTTCAATATCCATTATGGGCAGAGTATAATTAGCCCATCGTGTAGCCTGGTGATTAACAGCGAACAAACAAACAAAATGTTGTTTTCCAAACTCTACTTAACTATACCATTGCTGTAAAGTCAAAAATTGTATGTTTGTTATATTAGAGTAAATGAAACTTTAAAAAGTCCATTTCGTCCTTAGGTTGTTTGTATCCATTTGTTGTAACTTAAAACGTGTATTGTGTTGTAATGTGGAAATAAAATAATCAAAGATTACTTTTATCATAGCAAACAATTTCAAACAAAATGTTCATTAATTAAACTTTAAAGCAAAAACTGCTTGGCTGTAAAAGAAAAAAAAGACCAAAGCGTGGATATGTTTGTTAATTTTAGTAATGGTAGCGCGATTATGAGTTATTTGTCATTTGGTTGCTTTTTTGTATGATTATGTTAATAAAACTGACAAACCTGATAATAAAATAAGTTGAAACCAATAATAGAGTTTGTTTTTTCTAACAAGGAATTTTAAACTACGTATCCAACAATATTGACTGCCTTGTTCTCATATCAATTCTTTTAGTCACTTTTTGTATAACAAATAAAGTTTTTTTTCAGCCAAGCTGTTTTTGGTTTAGATATCATATCTTTCTGTTAAAAACTACAAGTTATCTCATACTGTACATCATATATAATTCACTATTAACTGTCTACCTAAACATTTCTTAAATAATGACAGGAAACATGCACACAATGCCTTTCAACCCTCTGCTAGTTGATAAATTTCAAACAACATGGTTCACTGCACTGTAGTGTAGCCCAAGAAACAATGCGAACAATTAGAAGCGAACAATCAATAGGAAAACAAACTAATTTTTTTCTCTAGTAAAATTAGTTCATCACACATACATTAAAGATATTGTAAAAAAAAACATAGCATCAGAAAGACAAAGAAGATAACGCAAATTATTGCAGTACAAGATTAGTACACTACACTTTCATTATGCATATACTCTGGCAACCACAGCAAAGCAAACACATGCGTAATATATGTACATTGGCTTTCGATGTACATTTTTATGGTATAGTCCTGTCAATTTCAAGAAGGAAACCTGCAATTCAATATTGTCCACGCTTGTAAGAATACACCACTGTATTCAAAATATGACCTGAAACAGACATCTCAAAATCAGTGCCCCACGTCCCATCAAAGGCCATCTGACTCTGTAGAAGATATTTCTCAACACAATCGTAGCCACCGTAGTATCGATTTAAGTAGTTTGGTGACCATCAGCCCCAATATCACTTACCAATTCAGGTATTCTTAGCATATGAGCAACTATTGCACTTCTAGCTTCAAAATGCTGCTCTTCAGAGCCAGTTAGTACATAAGACATAGCTATAAAAAAAGGTAAATTCATCACCTCTAATGCGCTTTAAAAATAGAGCATCTGGTAGAGTTAGAATTACATCTGATCTACCTGATACACGTTAAAATGGATGCACAAACCTCAGGCCTAGTAAAGTACAAGCTTGACTCTGTTATTCATCATCAACAGGATAATACCTGTAATCAGGCCATCCAGTTACTGGCACAATGGGCATATCAACAACAGTAATTTTCACAGTCTTTGTAAGTAGCTATAGTGGACTCAGCTACTTTACATTTACCTTTACGCTTCATATCCAAGGACCCTTTTGCTTTAGACGTAACAACACCAAGTACCACCCTAGTTGGTGGTTTGGTTATAGGTGGAACAGATTTAACCAATTTTCGTTTTATAGGTGCCTTCTTTTCCACACTTAACTGATGCTGCAAATTGCCTTTTATAAAGTTGCTATTAACCTTCTTTAAAACGTCATTGGTCACTGACAACCCTACATCACACAATTTAGCAAATTCAGAAGACATGTTAAAGCTGATATCTGTTTTAAAATTTGCAGGTACATTTACGTTACTACGTATTTGTCTTCTACTTTTTTTCGAACAACATATCCATGTTAGTATACTGGTTCCTAGTATACTCATTTTCTGACAAGCACAATAAAAAAAACTAAGATATCCAAAGAAATCACTTGTGAAACAAAAAACACCACTTACCTTATACAGTGTAAAAAAATTCAATCATACATACACAAATAACTCTTAGAGAACGTTTCAACAACCATAAATTTCCTATTAACACTGAAAAAGATCTTGATGTCTTCTTTAACACCTTCCACATTTGCATACGTTTTCCCATTAAGATGGTAATCTTATGGTGCCATATCTGGAGAATATGGTGGGTGGGGGAGAACTTCCCAACCCAACTCCATAATCTTGTGTTGCGTCAAATGTGCCACATAAGCAAATAATAAAATTATTTTTCTGACAGAGATAAAACAAATGAACGGAGATCCCTGATTCCAGGATCTAGACTAATTCCGAAAGGTTGAACAGTGTTTAGATTAGCGATCCAATAAGCTTGTTTTATTTCTCTATCTGCTTTAGTTTTGGATCCTGTTTCAATGTCGATGAGAGTAACATCGTTAATGGAATGACCGGGTTGGTTAAAGTGTTGAGCAACAGGAACATGTTTTTTGCTTCAAAGCCAAGTGATTTCTATAGTCAGGGCATTAACAATCTCATTGTAAAATGGAAAAGCATCATTGATAAGAATGGAGACTATTTCATTTACTAAATGTTTTGTTTTGATATATAAGTTGTTCGGTTTTTTTATCTAAAAAAGCTACATTAATTTTTGGCAACCTAATATTTGCATTCTTCATTAATATAACACAAGGTTTTTGGGGTAATGCATCAGAATTTCTATGGTTCCATCTAGGGTGATGGACGAGGTTAAAATTGTACTCCTAAAGGATTTGAAGTTGTATTGCTATTTAGTCTTCTGGAGTATTAATATTCACCAGCCACTTCAATGCTGCATGATCTGTCTGGAGTACAAACTTTCTTTTGTCCATATAGATAATGATAGAAATGATTTGGGGCTCTATCAGACCTAAGTAGCACTTTCCGAAATGTACAATATTTCCTTAATACAGCATTCTGTATTGTATTTGCGATAACACTGCTTCTGTTGTACAATCATTGGCATCTATAAGTAATAGGAGCAAATGCTCAAGAAGTGTGTATGCTAATACTGGAGTAGTGGTTAATTCTTTTTGCTATTTATTGAATGCTTGTTCGCAATCAGTAGTCCAACAAATTTGTTTAGAAGAGAATCTACACCAAAGAACAATTTTACAAATGGAGGATAGTAATAGCATAGTTCAGGAAAACCTTTTACCTCATACAAGTTCTGGACAAAATCAGTCTTAGTTGTGCCTGCAGATGCTCTCTCTCTCCACTGGTTATGTGTCCCAGGAAACTCATTTGTTTATAGAGCAGTTGATACTTATTAGGATTCAGCTTAAGATTTTCTTTTGTCAACTGAACCAGTACATTTTTTAGCCCATCACAAGCAATAACAAATGTATTCCAATGTGTAATTCATGCAAGTGGATGAGTACAATGTTCCACGGTAGTTCAAAGCAAACACAGTCTACCAGTCATTAAAATGGTAACACAGCAAATTGCTACAATTCATTTCTTGCAGTAAAAGCTACTTTTTCTACTTTGCTTCGTTGACTTGCAATTGCCAATATGCATTCACTCTTCAGATCCAATGTTGATATAGATGAAGCACTCAAAGTAGAGTCAATTCTTAATATTGGGTAGACATCCTTCATTGTGACTTCATTCATCTTCCGGTAGTCCACGTGGAACCTTGTGGATCTAATCTTTTTTTTTCATAAGTACAACAAGTGATGCTCAAGGACTAGTACTAGATTATCTTACTTATTGTTCTTTCATGATTTCTATCTCTTTGAAAACTTAAACATTTTTTGCAACTGAAAGTCGTCTAGTTAACTCATATATTGCCACTCCATCTGCATTATCAATCTTTTCCTAGCTAATACCTGTTTTATGATGTCTTGTTAGCTCTTTGATGTTTCTTTGCTCTGATTTGGCTTCGAGACTCATTCTTATGGTATTGCATATGTTAGACATACACGATTGTTTCTGTTTAAGTTTAATGTGAGTGTTAAATTTAGTTATTTTTAGAAGTGATAGTTGTTTACGTAACTATTTACGAAGCATACATTGTGTAGTTCATTAGTTATGTGTTGGTGATTGTTATATTATTGCATCATATTACTAGAGCCTTCTGAATATATCTTGGATTTTAATTGAGTATTATTGCATCATAATATCAAGTGGTGTGTAGAATATTCAAGACCTCTGCCAGGGTATAAATATGTGTCGAAAATGTAGTTCGATAGATATAAACTGTGTGATTATGAGTTTAGCCATAAAGAGCACTTTGTGGTGATTTTTAAAGTAAAATTATCACAGACACTATTGTAATAACAGAGTAAAGAAGAATAATTTTTCTTGTCAAATTGTGTTCTAAAGTAACTGAATCAGCCTATGTGGACTTTAACGAAAAAGAGACAATTACTTAAAGCTCTGGATACAATTGTGATAGCAAACAGTTATAATGGTGATTTTAAAGTGAAACTATCACAGACTGTATTGTAATAACAGAGCAGGAAGAATAATTTGTCTTGTGAAATTATGTTCTAAAGTATCTGAACCAGCTTGTATGGACTTTGACGAAAAAGAGACTATTATTTAAAACTCTGGATACAATTGTGATAACCAACAGTGTAACTAACATTTTTATATACGTTTGACTTGTTATAATTTATCATTTAAAAGTTGACTGTCTTCTGTTTGTTTATTGTTGAAAGTTATCACCATCAAGTTACAGGCACCTACTGTAAAGAATCTGGCCCATGCATAAAATCTGAGTCTCTTTTGTTTATTATCATCTGTTGATTCTTTACAGTCTTGGCTGTAATGATAATGTTTGTAACATTTATAACATTTCCCTTTTTCTGGCATTCTTTGGGATGGATCTATATTCCTTACAGACAATATTTTATGGGCAAGGTGTCCTTTTAAACTTTTGCTGTTTAAACTCCTAGTGTCTCGTGTATTACTTCTTTCATTCTGTGTAATTAATCCTTTCAGCTTTTCTAGACTACCACCAGGGAGATTTTATTTTCCACACTACTTGATCTGAGGATCCTGTAATTTTTGGATGGTGCATTTAGTTGATTCATTGTGAATTTAATGCATTCAAGTTACATCATCAACTGGAGAACTTTCTTTAAAATGTACATCCATTTTATTTTAACCTAATCTGCCTATCCTCATCCACTGTTCCATCTATCAGTTGAATTCGGGACAACAAATCCTTCATTTTACGTAAAGGAATTGGCTAAGATAATTGTGCAAGCCTTTCCACTTCTTGTGTAAGTTCAGCTAAAGTTTTGTTTTTCCTCCTTATTCTGTTCCTAATCTTTTTTTGACACTCCAAACCTGTTTGATAAGGCAACCACAAATGATTGATAACATTTACTGCTCTCAGCTGGAAGGTTGCTTAATATTATTAAGACTGGTCCTTTTAAATGAGCAGCAAGATTAGTCTTTTTGTACTTCATTAATGTCTTTTTTATTCATTCAGTTTTGTTGTAATCCATCTCTATATCTCTAATAACACTTCAGATCTTGTCTTCAATGTAAATTATTGGTTGTTATTCTTTCAATATTATGTACATTTCTTTTTGGCCTTCTTTTAGTGCTCTGTGTCCTTCTCCTTGATATTCTTTCTACTTATTCATTATCTATAGCAAATTATCGATCTCACATCGAGCATAGGTCATAATCATAAAATTTAGTCTAGGTTCTATTTTATTTTTAACCAAAATGTTAAATATCCTATTGTTTCTACACCACAACTCAAACCTGGCTGACTAATACAATAACATAGTAAAAATTTCACTAACTAACTAATTCAATCACTAACTGATTCGCTGATTCACTAATTATCTAACTCGATGTCTAATTGGCTGACTCATTCTGGTGTTTTATACAATGTTTTTTTATATTCCAAATCTCATGAAAATTAAGACATTATGTCAAATCTACATTCAGAAAATGTCTACGTGTTAGGTAGGCATCATTATATTATGTCAAAATTCTCTCATGAAAACAGTACAAATTGTATAAAATAAATGCACAAAATATAGCCTAAAACATTGCATTTACTAATCCCGTGTCTATCCATCGTTATCAACGTGGAAATACCATGTTGTGAACATTAGCTATTGTTTGTATGCAGAAACAGACAAATACAAAATTACCAATTAAAAATCAAAGTTAATTATGATCCCAGACCCCTCCTGTGAGTTAAATCCTAGGTAGGAGAAAGAAACATAGACATTGTTCAAAGTTTAGATATAGAACGTTCTTTATAGAAAATGTAAGGGAAAAATTCCCGATAGAACATATGTAGCTAGTAAACAAGTAATTGTCATAAAAAAGAAATTCAAAGTAACCTGTTTTAGAAAGTTTAATGTTTAACACTCCTAACTGAAAACCATTAGTTAATAGTTACTATTTACATTAAGAACTATTGAAGTGTTTAGGTTTTGCTGTGAACAATGTGCACTTATACAAATGTGTAATTGAATGAGAATGAACATAAGCGTAAGCTACGTTGAAGAGTTTGATAAGTTATCTGTTTTAATAATCGGAAGAAGTAATCTTCAGTCAGGTATTAATGTCGCTTTCTTTAGATGAAAAAAACCAGAACACCTTATATATTAAAACAAAACATTTATTAAATGAAATAGTCTCCATTCTTATCGATAATGCTTTTCCATCTTACAATCAGGTTGTTAATGCCCTGATTAAAGAAATCACTTGGCTTTAACTAAAAAAACATGTCGATGTTCTCTTTAACACCTTCCACATTTGCATACGTTTTCCCATTAAGATGGTGTTGCAGCGAACGAAAACGA